GTTAGGGCCAATGTTTGTTAATTATTTATTTAACTTATTCAAGATTTGTAATGGACAATAAATATCAGTTTTATTGATATTTATTCTTTGAGGTAGTATAGCCGTATTTATTTTCTTGTCCCATCCCTATCGGCACATCTAGTTTCTTTTTCGGAAATAAAACCTATATAGGCACGTGTTTTTCACGATCCAGGCGTAAACCAAAAGCACGTGTTTATTACGGGCAGTTTTACGAGAGTTTAACACGTGTTTTTTGAGGTTTTAAAGTCAAATTTAAATGTTGCATGTTTTTATCAGTGGTTTCACATTCCTTACGGAAAGTTATTAAAATATAATACTACGCTTCCATAACGGTGAAACCATTAATACTTTAACTGGTATTTATGGTAAATAGTAATAGTTAATTTCACGGAATAAAAACCATTTAGGATACGTGTTATCCTTTTTGTTTTAGGTTTTAAAAACGCAACAGAAACCAAGCGTAACTATTTTCTGAGTTGTGCCGGCTGGGATATTTTTTTCACGTCGAATTCGTTTTTTGTAATTTCTTTACTATAATATTATTTCTTTACCTTCAATATTGTTTTTTTTTAGTTATTTTGAATTCATACTGGCACGTTTCGTTATAAATGTCAAGATATGTGTTTAAGAAAATATTAAATGCTTTATTTGTATTATCATATTAAAAATCTGATTTAACGTCTCTTGCTTTAGTTTATCGGAAAGATTATTCTTATTAACTTCTGATAGGTTGCGTTTTTTTAGAGTTATAACTTTGGGACCCCCGTTGGATGGGGCTTAAAAAGGATTTGTTTTAACATATATTGGGAAGCGATCACTAATATCAGTTTTAAAAATACCTCAAATGACGTTTTAAAAATGTCTCAAATGACGTTTCTATATAATTGTTAATAAAGAAATTACCGATTGGAGTTGCCGAACTTTTAGTTACCCTAGTTGGTTTATTGATAACTGGTAAAAAAATGTCAAAAAAAGATTTTGTTTTTCGATATTTTTTATATGTCAGAGAAATTATATTTTCAAAACCTTGTTGAAAAATATTATTCGAATCCATTTTTAAGTAAGTATACGATAATTTACTTATAAATATATTAATAAATTATTTATCCCGAGGTATTACATTTTCTGTGCTTGCACATTTATTTTGTCGGGATTCATGGACAATTAGTTTATTATAATTTATAATATAAACAACTTTAGCATAAAAACCGTTTTGTCTTTGAATTTTCGCCTTAGCAAATAACTCTTTTCGAATTTTTCGAGTAGTGCTACAAAAATCTTCATTAATAAAAATATTGGTACCTTTAAGCTTCGATGTGTTATCAGTGATCACTTTTTTGTCCTCGTAGTTGTGACCCGGTGGGAAATGAGCTAGCGACTAGCTAGCTTTATAGCGATTTTCAAGCGATTTTTTTTTTCTTATTTTATTTTTTACTAATGTCTCTAACATCTTTAAAAATTCGATTTTTAGTGTTGAGTCTATTATAATTATGAGAATAATTGAACTTTAAACATTGCGATTTTGTAGCAATGTGTCGCTAGCTACATATCGTAGCTTTGTAGCTAGCTACAAAATATCTACAAATCTATAGCTACATACCAAAATTTTTTTGATAGCGATTTTATTACGATATGATGGTAGCAACAATAGACTGTGAGTCTTTAGCTTATTAAGCTAGCTGTCCTCGTAGCCAAATCGCTGTCTTTATATTTACAAATATCGATAGCTTTTCGCTAACTTAATAAAGCTAGCGATCCTCGTGGCCAAATTGCTGTCTTTATCGTAACGATTATAGCTAGCTATTCGCTAGCCGATTTCCCACTGGGGAAGTTTCAAAGCAATTGTTCGTTCACGATTATTACTCAAAACTCCAACTCTGTGTGCTCGTTCAATTTTGACTTCTCTTTTGATGTTCAGATTTTCAGCAGATTTTCATATTTACTTTTTCTTTAGTTTTTTCTCAATCTTTTTCATCGCTACTCTCAAATAAACCATCAATACGCAAGTTGTTTCTTTGATTTCGACCTTCTATGTCAACAGATTTTAATTTTAGACTCTTTAGCAACTACTGTTTTAAGTTTTATGTTAGTTTCACTTTATGGAGGACCGCAATATCTTTGCAGAATTTTACCTGTTTGTGAGCTTGATTCTAGATTTCTTTTTGAACAAACTAAATTTGTTTTAGAGGAATAAAGAGCGCCTTAGGGATACCAATTACCATAATGTTTGAATGTGTTGATCCATGGTTCATCAAAGACAATATGTTTTTGTTATACGACTTTGTGCATCTATTATCTGTTCGTAATAACTGGATTACAGAAAAAAGCCAAAAGTTACGTTATGAATATAATGGAGAAACTAAATATGCATGTTGGTCTAATATCCTAAGTTTGTTCAGACTCGAAGAAAATAATATTGTAAAATTGTCTAAACTTACAAGTGTGTCTGTTGCCTCAAAACCTATTGAAAGATAAAAGGTGTCTACAAGTCTTTTATGATGAAACTGTAACTGCTTTAAAATCTATCATTAATATAAAAGCAGATGACACCATACCTTTTATTGAAATATTTGTTAAGTTCTGGAAAATTGTCAATACCAAAGAACTGTATGTTGATATTCGATATAAAGATCCAGATAAAGCAGTTATATCAATTTCAGAAGAAAAAAGCAGGATTAGTATATATAACAGGATATATTTTGCGAAATGAAGTTGAAGAGCAAGAAGAAGCTTAATTTAATTATGAAGAACTCGGCGATTATACTGCTAAAATTAACCGTGGAGGTTTGAAAATACCAAATGACAATGTTTATCAGTGGACAATATTTTCTTATATTTTGTTTCATGAAGTTGTTCATGTCTGACGAAAGTCACTTTGCAATATTTTAATGTAAATATCAAAGTCTTTTAACTTTAATATGGAAAAGAAATATGCTATCTAATTTTCAAACATTTTTTAAAAAACTATGTTGATTTATATGCACCAAGATCATCTAAAGAGTCACAACAAAAGATCTTAGAGGTTTCAAAGTAAACATATTGTGTTTTTTTACTTATGAAAACTCTACAACTCTAAGTTACTTATATTTTCTGTTTGTTTCAGGGGTGTGGAGTCGTAAAAAAAAAGTAATGACTCCGATTCCAGTTGTTGAAATTTTTTGAGTACAACTCTGACTCCAACTCCAAAGCAAATTTTTAAAAAATTCTTTCAATTCTTTAAAAAATATTACGCGATAAGGAAAGTTTTGTTTTTATAGATAAAGTTTTATAGTTAAGGAATATTTTTTATCTTCGTAGGAAGCTTGTTATGAGTAAATAGGTTTTAATTATTAAGTAAGATAAATAGCTATAGTTCACTCACACAAAATGGAAACACTTTTTTACAAGCAAATTTTCATGCTACAATTAACTTTTTCTTATTTAATGTTGCTTTTTATTGGCCCCCAGCACCAGGCTCCGATTTACGCGTTTGCGAGGCCTGTTAGTATAGACGGCTATGAAACCACCAAAAAACAACAAGCATCTCTTGCATCCACTAATCACAAGCATTTCTCTTGATTCAACTAACAAAATCTTCCTGATTTAGCCGAAAAACAGGTTGATCCATTGCTTAACATTTGTATCACTCCTGCCTCTGTACTACAGCTTATGGTCCGGGCAACATAGCTGTTATAGTAATACAGTAATGTTCTCCGGAGCTGTCGTATATACTTTCAAAACTATTTAACAAGTGCTTATCAGAGTCTTGTTTTCCAGCCTACTGGAAAGCGGCATTTGTTATCCTTTTTTTTCGAAAAATCTGGAATGCAATCTGATTTGTCTAACTACCGTCCAATTAGTTTTCTCCCTATCACAAGCAAGGTTTTTGAGTCTTAAATTAACAAACCCCTAATCTCTCACATTGAATCTAATAACTTACTTTCTGATTCATCAATATGGATTTCGATCTTCTCGTTCTACTGCTGATTTGTTAAAGATAATAACCGATAGGTTTTATCATGCATTAGATAGCGGTGGGTCGGTTAAGGCTATTGCTCTTGACATTTATAAAGCCTTTAATAAAGTTTGGCATGCTGGTCTTCTCCATAAACTCTCTTCTTACGGTGTATCAGGTAACATATTTAAGACTATTGAATCCTTTCTTACCAATCTTAGTATAAAAGTTGTCCTCGATAGACAGCACTCTTCTTCATTTCATGTAACTTTAGGAGTCCCTCAAGGTTCGATCCTAGGTCATACACTTTTTTTAATTTACATTAACGATCTCCCAGAAATTCTCACATCTGAGGTGGCATTGTTTGCCGACGATTCTGCATTTATTCTTTACTTGATAAGAAGCCAACACTCTCTGTACGCTTGGAGGAGGCATTTGAGCAAAAAATCTCACTTCTGCTATATCATGGGGCTCTCAGTGGCTGGTGAACTTTAACTCAGATAAAACTCAGCTTTTTCAGCTTATCGTTATCACAACAATCTTGAGCTTCCTATATATATGAATGGTTATGTACTTGATGAGTTATCTTCCGTTCGTCAACTAAGTTTGATTCTTACTTCCAATCTTTCTTGGAAACCATATATCAAACTCATTGCAAACTTTGCACCTGCTAAGGTTTCAACTCTTTATTGTGCTCGCCACTTTTATACTTCGGAATCTATTCTTTATTTCTATACATCTCAAATCCGTCCTTGTACGGAATACTATTGCCATATTTGGAGCGGATCTTCAAATGATAACCTTTTTCTTTTAGACAAGGTACAAAAACGCAGTGTAAACATACTTGGATCTGCTCTTGTAGCCAGCCTTCAACCATTGTCACATCGTCGTAATGTTGCTTCTTTTTTCTATAAATACTAAAATGTGCGCTGCACTAAAGAGCTAATAAATAAAAAAACCCTGAAAGATTGTTTTTAATTTCAACGAAGTTAATTTTAAAAAAATTCAAGAAAATAATTTTTATTTGAATTAAAATTCACTCAGATATTTATGATTTTCATTAACTTTGCATGGATTTAAACATTTATACATAATTTATCTAAAAAGTACAACTTTTTGATTACTAATAAAAATTTCGATAATTTGGAATAACGTTACCATCCTTTCCCTTTTTTCTTTTTTCCTTTTCCTGATTTCGCACTCGGCTTTTGTTGACGAGGTGGAACAACAGAGGAACTTGAACCTGGTTTTGGCGATGAAACTTTTGGTGAAGACACAGGGTTTGCTTTCGGAGAAACAGGTCTAAAATTAAAAAGCAAAAATTTCTTCTAATAGATATTAAAACACAGTATATGTATATATGTGTATATATATATGTGTGTATATATATATATGTGTGTATATATATATATATATATATATATATATATATATATATATATATATATGTGTATATATATATATATATATATATGTGTATATATGTGTGTATATATATATATGTGTATATATATATATATGTGTATATATATATATATATATATATATATATATATATATATATATATATATATATATATATATATGTGTATATATATGTGTATATATATATATGTGTATATATATATATATATATATATATATATATATATATTTATATATATATATATATATATCTACTATAGCATATTTATATGCGCAATTGCTCACTTTTTTTGCTAGCCTAAATTAAGTGAGCGTTTTTAGAAAATGATGAGGGAAAACGAAGAATAACGAATGAAAAGGTTGCTGACCCATACCAAACCCTCAGTCGATGTAGCAGCACTCCACTGCGAGTCAGGCTATTTGTCAGTCGATGTATGTACTGAAGCCCCCGGCAGCAGGCTATTTGACGTTAGGTAAGTATGACATCATCATGCTCACCTAACTCAGCAGTATAGGATATAAAGATATTGATTAAAAATCTAATAATTTATAATAGAAAAAGACATAAAAAATTAAAATATTTAGCACAAAATATAACTGTACAAGTAATCAGAATAAAGGAATTTTTTAAAATTAGTGTACGTTTGTAACAACAAAATATCTGTAGGAATCAACTTTTTAAATCTTGTGTGCGATTGTAACAAGAAACGTAATTAAAAGGTTTGCAAATCTTTAGACAAGAACTAATATAATTTTTTTTTTTAATTAAGAGGATATAATATCGTCGGGGATAGTGCAAATCCGCGGATCTACTATAGGTAGGGAGCGCGTATCTGCATTGCAGATAGTTTTACAGGAGAAGGTTAAAACTGTATATATTTTTTTATCTAAACAGACTTTGAGCTCATTTTGGCATAAAGAGTTTTATTGATGTTCTTTTATAATAGCTATTAGGTGTTATAGTTAATAATTTAGTCGCTAGAACACTTACGCGGATTTGATTTAACCACAATGGTACCCGATATAGTAAGTTATGCGATATCGAAATCAAACTAGTAATATTACTAATTATTAATATATGATAATCAAACGATAATATGAATTGTAATATCTGTTTAAAACCTTATATTTTACAAACTTAATTAAAAAAATAAATAAATGAATATTTTGAAATCTCTTCAAAATATAAATATTAATAGTACAACAACATTTCAATAACAGTTTGCTTCAATCTTACCTTTAACTCAGCCTGTACAGTCTTTTCAATTACCTTATTAGAAACAATAGAGCAGGTTTTAGGAATAATATTACGAAATAAACTCGTAACAATAAAAGAACATCTTCAGCTATCTAACAAAAATATATCTTTATAACTTCATAAATCTTTATGATTGTAAATTAAGAAAAATGTTACTCATTAACATTAAAATTAAATAAAAAACATCAAAAAAGTATAAGAACTGTTTCAACTACTCAAAAAATAACAACTGTCATCGTAGTTATAGTTTAATAGAATAAAAGAAAATCACTTTTGTAAGATAAGTTGTCATAAAATTCATGGCAATCCTTGGGTATAACACTTTTTAACTGTTGTAAATTTTCATATTTTGATTTTGAGATTGGCAATCTTTCAGTAAAGAGTTGTGGTGGAATCACTGGTTGAACTTTTTTTGGTCTTTGTGGTAATTATTTGAACTGTTCATTGTAACTTAGTTTGAAATGTACCTTTGGGATTGTATTTTAGAACTCTGATATCAACCACACATTTTGCTCCAGTACCTCTTTCAGGACGGATTGTATCATAAATAAGGTAGCTTTTAATACTAATATCTTTAAAAAATGTATGGTCTACCATTGCTACCTCATATGGAGATGGATTGCGTCTAGCTTCTTTAGTAACTAAAGAGTATTGACTAGGTAAAAATATTTCACGGTGTTTTAACTTTCTTTCTATTACTGAATGAACTGAATCTACCTCCATTTGAGTATGACCCTTTTCTAAAAACATTTGAGTGATGACTACTTTTTTTTGCATTGCCAATTGCAGAAGTGCGTTCGAAACAATGGCATTTCTATTTTGTGATGTACATCCATCAGTAAAAATTATGACATCTTTTGGGGATTCATCAATTAATTTATCTAAATAATAATAAAAAAATGATGCATAAGTTGATGCCTTTAAATTAGTTGTTGTTTCATCAAACCAATAACACTTTACTTTATTAGTGCAAAGATTGTATATTGTAAAATTATGAACCATCAGTTTTGTTTTAAAATACAATGCACTGGCTTTCAAGTATGGACATAATTTCACTGCTTGTAAATCAGCAGTGATAACGTGAATTGTTCCATCTTTCGCAGCTATTTTGTCAAAAACTTTTTCCTGTCTAGCTAAATCTTTCTGTGATACATGTTGTAAATACTCTTGCTCTGTAATATTTCCTGTTTTATATGAACAACATAGATCACATGCATCTTTCTTTGGTTGAAACATAGCTATGTTTTCTTCTTTCAAAACATCTTCAAAAAGTTTTCTGGAAGCCACTCTCTGTCCATTTTTTGTAGCATTTTTAACATAGATACGATAGAGCTCACGTTTAGACTGTATTATGGGTTCTAGATACAATTTTTTACTTTCTTTTCTGCAGTAGTGAGAAGGCAATTCTTCAAACATACTCTCATTTTGTTGTTATCTAATTTTAAATAATAGACTTAAGTATTACTTCGCCTTGTATTTGTCCTTTCAGTAGTTTTTCTTTTAGCCAATTTTTTATCAACTAAAGATGAAACAAAGATTCTCTTGGCTATCCAGCTCATCTCCCAAAATTTTTTAAAAATATTTAATCTTACACTTTCTGTAAACTTTTTGAAGTTAATCACATTACTTTGTAAGCATTTGTTTGACTTACAAGCCTCTCCAAGTTTTCGCACAGGTCTTACAACGTCTTGTAAAAACTTTTCCCCACAAGTCTTTCTAAAACCTGTGTATTCATGACCTAGCATTCTCAAATTCTTATTCCTAAATCTTTTTGAAGACACTTGTTATGCTTTTTGTTTCCTTTCCCTAGATTTAACTGCTACTTCAGGTTCCAAATTTCTTTCATGAAAAAAATCGTTATTGCTGTTTATTGATTGAGTGAAAGCTATCTGTTAAACATCTGTTACTTCAGAGATTAGATTTTTATTTGGATCAGCAACAGAATCATCTACTGAAAAGTCAAAGTTGGCAATTCACTTGGCGAAGTAAAATATGGTAAATTGTCAGTCTTTCTTTAAAGCTTTTAATGTCATAAATTGATGTGTTTTATCTTCTTGACAAGAGTTTGCTGTTATTCGCCATTTTACTCTTTATCTATCTAATCTAAAAAAATCCAAATGCATCAGCTATATAAAAAAAGAAAAAATAATCATAATGATTTATATAATTTAGAAATATTTTAAACTAAATATTGCATTTATATAAACTAGCTAACGTACAAAATGTTACAATATTCAGTCATTACTAATGACTAAATTTAGTAAGGTAAACCGTGCTAATGACAGCACGGTTAAGATGAAATTCAAACTGAAAATTTTTTTAAATACCAATTTTATCTAAAATTATTTAAAATGCCAATTTTATTTAAAGTTATTTACAATGCCAATATTAACAAAACTAGTAGACTCCCATCATATTGAATTTAGAAGTAGGAAAACTAATCCTTTACAAAAGGTATAGTCATGCAATTATATAAATAGTAAAAACAAAAAAAAAACAAAAAAAAGTAGTATTAATTGACAAAAAATGTAAGCAAACACTTTTCTCTTTATAAAAACATGATTGCGCATTAGTGTTTTTTTAAAAAAAAAAAAAATAAACTTAATGAGGCAACTTTTTTTAAAGACACGTTTTTTTTTTTTTTTGTAAAACGAGTTTAAAAAAAATAGTTAATGAACAAAAAAAATGTTTTTTCTTTATTACATTTTTATATAGATAATAAAACTAAAACTTAACTGATATGGTGTTGATTATTTTCATTAATAAACCGAATTTGACAACACGTAACAACATTTCAGTTACGCTCCAGATGATAACCGATGCATACGCGGTACTGACATTTACTGGTCCCAGATACACAGTATTGTTCTTGGGCAATAACCTGCATTCTTTAGGTCAAATGAAAGTAACCTCAGTATTCGGGGCTGCCAATTAGAATCTTGAGTGCATTGCCCACGAAATCTCAAATTGGCTACATTTGTCAGATACGCGGTATTATCCAATGCTAGTTACGCGGATTTGCACTATCCCCGACGATATGTATATTATTTTTATTAAAAGAAAAAGTATAAAATTATTTTGTTCCATAAGGTTTTAAACAATTTTAAATACATTTAAAGCATTTCTCTTCTGTTAATTTTAATGCAAAATAAGTTTTTCAAACAAGCGTTTTAATAGTCTTTAGTGACGTTTTTTTTTTTTTTTGTTAAAATTATATTTCGATATTACGTGGCTTCCATTGAAGTCTAACCATTTGACTTAACATTCAATTAAATAATTAACGTTCAATTTAAATTAACATTCAATTAAATAATTATAATAATAATAAAAACATACAACAATTTTAAATTACAAAAAAATTTGTGCTATAAAAGAGAAATGTTTATAACTTTTATTCTGTTTATAAACATGTTTTTATGATAACTAACTACCAATAATAAAAGATACATATAAAACTACCAATAAAAAAAAGATACACACACACACACACAGATATATATATATATATATATATATATATATATATATATATATATATATATATATATATATATATATATATATATATATATATATATATATATATATATATATATATATATAAGTTTAACATTAATTGAAGACGGGAATTTAAAAAAAACAAACTATTAATCAATTATTAAATGCTAATTTTGACTTTCATGTTAAAAATTTTAACTTACTGATCTGGCGCCACACTGCCTTGAGTACCTTTGCCTATTATAAAATCAATTATTTTATAATATACTGTATATTAAAAATAAAAAAAATATATATAAATAATATATATATATATATATATATATATATATATATATATATATATATATATATATATATATATCAAGTTGTTATTTTACCAACAGTGTTTGCTCCTTTTTTGGCTTTTTTATGTTTAAAAGTTGAACGTTCCCATTTTGGAAGCCAGCGTTCAGGATCTGGGTCAATTTCAGGATCATAATTTTTTGGAAGTTTACCTAATGAATTCAAAACATTTAATTTTTTTTTCTTGAAAAATCAATAGAAAATTTTTCTCTAATAACGTTAAGTATTACCCTTCTTCCTCTTTCTTCTCTTCCTTTTAATTGAAACTTCATCTCTATAGTATATAATACATTAATAGATATTTATATATTTATTAATTTAGCTTTCATTTTAAAATCATTTATTTCTGCTTTTTTTTTATACATCAACTATTCATTTTTTATTATATACCCATTTTTTAACATGATTTATTTGTTTATTCGTGCCAGATTTTTCTCACCCTAAATGGACACTTTAATTTATAAATTTAATTTGCTTTTTAAAAAATTGTGCTGTTGTTTCTCATTTGAAGGCCTAACAAACATGTTTTTTGTAAGTAGACCGAACATGTTTTATAAAACCTTCGTATATTGGGAAAATATCTGAGTTAACAAAAAAAAGATTATACGTAGTTATAAAAAAGAATTGTTAATTACTGTAAAGCTGGTGTTCACTTTACTGAGAGTTTCTAGCTTTTCCCCCCTAAAAATCCCCTTCCTTTGGATTTTACATCATTCATTGTGTACAAATTTAGGATGTAATTTCTGTAGACAAAACTACTTGGTATTTACGAGAAAAAAAAGTTGAACACTATGAGAAATAATGACTTTAATAAGAAAAAGCATCTCTAGATTTTTTTTATTTTGGATTCTACCTTTTTAAAAGTAAGGCATTGCCTTTTTAAGAAAAAAATATTCACACACATAAAGGTGTGACGCGGTTTTTTTGGTTCTTAAATTTCTGTCGGTTTTTTGGGAAAAAAACACAGCGGTCCGTTTTTTTTGGGGAAATAAATACTAAATTTAACTTTAATGACAACATCTTAATATTTTTACTTCAGATTTAAATAGGACAATTAGTACTGAAATTTACTGAAATTCTTTTTATTTTGGTATGCTTAAAAGTTAACACGGTTGGGGAAGTCCTTTATAAAAACTTCTTGGATAATTTTATCTTCCTTAATTTTATTTTAGTTGGTTTTATTGACACAATAAACATTGTTATTTAAATTTATTATATTTTACTACATTTAATATTTGATATATATGCAATATATAATGTTATAGAGCAAGGAAGCAGTTGACAGAAGACTTAAAAAATTGTAAGTTTAGTCAGAAAAACACTAAGATGAGAGAGAGTTGCAAAGGGTTGAAATGCGAAGAAAGAAACTACGTCTACAATGCATTTTTGGACTTGCCAAGAAAAGAAAGAACATCATTAGAAGAACCAGCCTTAATACGAATTATAAGCGAATGCTAATTTAGCAATCGATTGTATATGTGGTTTACATGAAAGGTAAAAATGGTAAATAGTAACACCTGACCTGATTAAATCTGGACAAATTTCAAGCCATTCTTGTTTAATTTGTTAATAACTTTATCACATGATGTGATATGTCATTTTGTAGAGAATTTAATTCTCTATAATATGAAATTATTTTGAAATTTGAATTTTATTAAAAATGGTTAAAGTTAACACAAAAGAAAAAAATATAAGAAAAACTATGTACCGGTTTGTTAAAAACCATTCGTCTTGGACTAAACCACAGATTGTTAAACACTTTCAAGAGGAAGGAATTCCTCTTGAACCTGCTATAATATTTAAAAAAAAAAAGGAGAATAAAATACAACCTGAACGGAAAGTTAAAAGTAAACCACCGGTGTTAAAAATGACCAAAGCAAAAGTTACACTTTTAAAAAATTCAATTGATCATCACTATGGAATTAGCTAACGTGCTCTTGCCAAAAAATTTGGTGTGTCCAAATCAACAATATTTAGAACGATAAAACAGAAGACAAACATCAAATATTACAAAAAGAAAAAAGCACCTAAAAGAACTATTAAGCAAAAAGAGGTTGCGCGTACAAAATGCTATCAACTTACCAAGCTTTTTCGCAAAAAACAAGTCATAATTGATGATGAGTCTTATTTCGGTTTGAGCAACTTCGAGTTGTCTGGAAATTCAGAATATTATTCAAGCGATCATGACACTACATCAAATGAAGTCAAACTTAAAAGAGTTAAAAAGTTTGAACCTAAATTGTTGGTCTGGGTAGCATTGTTCCTAAAGGGAGGTCAAAACACTTCATTGTACCATCGGGTCAAGCTATTAACCAAGATGTTTACTTAGATAAGTGCTTAAGATCTAGATTAATTCCATTCATTGAACAGTACCATAAAAATGATAATGTAATCTTCTGGCCTGATTTAGCATTGTCACATTATTCAAAAAAATTTCAAGCATTCTTCAATTCAAAAAACATCGAATTTGTACCAAAAGAGAGAAATATTGCTAACATTCCAGAACTTAGACCAATCGAAGATTTTTGGAGTGAAATAAAATGAACAGTTTTTGCTAAATGCTAGCAAGCTTAAAATTTGGAACAACTTCGTAATAGAATTGACTACTGCCTTAAAAACTTAGATCCTGATATAGTACAACGATTTGGAAGATTGTATTTTACTCGAGTTGATGCAGTGAAATGGAATCCAAAACTTATAATTTTTATTTTATTTTAATGATAATACTTTTTATCTATAACTATCTTTTTTTTCCAAAATAAAAAATCTTTATCCATTAAAAAGTTATTAAATTTTTTCTTTTTGTCCAGATTTAATCAGGTCAGATGTTAAACGATAACCTAAGAAGACGTAAAGAAGAGGACTCAGTGAAAGGGTTATGATTTAATAATATAGGAATGTCGACAGTATTGTGACAGTTTATTCGCGATAAATAACTCAGGTTTGTTGGAGTTAAAATTTACAAACCCCTGTGAGCCCCAATCTGTTACAAAAGTGAGATTAGAAGTCAGATCGGCTGCTTGTTCTAAGCCATCAAAAACATAAATAAATAAAAGATAAATTAAAGCGGTTAGAAAAAAAACGATTTGATAATTTCAAAAACTTTTCCAGATACACCATATAAAGCAAGCTTACCAGCAAGCCAAACTTGGTCAAAAACTTTATATATATATATATATATATATATATATATATATATATATATATATATATATATATATATATATATATATATATATACATATATATATATATATATAATATTAGGGTGCCTTTAACCCTTCTTTAGATAAAAAATCAGAACTCAGTTTTTTTCATGTACTGTCTTTTGTGACTAATTTAAATTTTAAATTTCCAATATTTAGTTCATGCTCAAGCTCATTTTCTATTCAACAGGTTCCTAATATTGTTTTAAAAATATTTCTTTCGAAATAGATCAACTTAGTACTCAAATAAAGGGAAATTTTATATAAATCCAAAAAAAAAAAAAAAAAAAAAAAAAAAAAAAAAAAAAAAAAAAAAAAAAAAAAATTGTAGAGAAAGATATAAAAAACTTATAGAAATTCATGTTTTTTATTTTTGACATAAAAACTGTAGTTTTTCTGCAATAGATTCTAATAAGGATTAACACAAAAGATAACCACACCACATTAAAAACACTGAGTTGTGATTTTCTATCTAAGGGGGTTTTAAGGCACCATTATATCTATATATACATACATATACATAGAGAAAAGAGAGTTAAAAAAATTCTTTAAATTATTGAGTGATTTCTTATTGTTCTTCTTGTTGGGGACAGAAATAAAACCTTAATTGACCATTTATTTAAACCTCTGAACCAAATTAGCAAAATAGAAAAAATTCCTTTTGCCATAAGATTATGTCTAAAAATTGAACTTGAATAACAAAGCATGTTAAATTTTTTGCAAGTGTCCTAAGTGTCCCATGAAAATGGTCTGGGAAACTCAGTAAATAATAATTTGGGATTTTTAAAATTTCCTTGAAATGAATTTCAGTATAGGGTATTTTTTTATAAGAGCTTACTAGCGATAAATATACTTTTTGACAAATATAACAAACAAACAATGTAAGACTAAATTACTACACAATATACAAACGCTTAAAGAAATAAATAATCTTGATAGATTGCTTATTTCTTTGAGCATTAGAAGTCTGATATTAAATTGGCATTGTGTTATAAACTAACATATTTACATTGCCAAAATTAAAATGTCAACTTTCTTATAGGATAAGAATAGTTTCTATATTTAATAAGAGTATCACAGTTGTTAGGAAGTACAACAAATAAACATTCCTATACAGTATGCCTTGATATATAACTAACTTAATGCTAATTTAATTTTTTATTAAAAATATAAGTAAAATTGGTGTTTATACATGTAATTGTATTTTTTATGATCATATACTAAAAATATATCCTTTAGTAAAACTATTCTAAAATATATGCCAAAAAAAACAGCTAAAAAATTGGTTAAAAAGATCAGATAAACTTTGCCTTGCAAAATGCCAACTTTTTTCAGAAAAAGAAAAAAATAAAGAATAATGAAAAAAAACTTATTAGTGCCCCAACCTAAATCCACAGTCGATGTAGCAGCAACTCTCTTGCATGTTCTCACTAAATCAGTTAATGTAATGAAACCCTCACAGCTTTCTCAATCAGTATGATGTCAGATTCTCAATCTTAATGTAGTTTCTATGGTGTGTGTGTGTATATATATAAGAAAATTTGGTGAAGCACTGACTAGGTACACAATTTTATTGTGATATTTTAACACAATGAAATTTCAGATATTTTCAAATTATTTTATAAGTTCTCTCTAAGCTTTCTAAAAAATCTACTTTTTAGGTTAATCAAAGAATTTTTTTTAGGTTAATCTAAGAATCTGAGAACGATGTTTTAATGTTTGTTTATATAAAAAACAGTTGAAAATTAAAAAAAAAAAAATACTTGACTTCGCCTTCTTCTAATGTTGGTTTAACAGTTTTCTTTGAAAAGCGGAAACTACCAATCTGATCAGTCATTTCTAATGTGTCAACAGATATATCCTTTCTCTGTGGTAAATCGGGTAAGTCAACACTATATCTATATAAAACTAACGATAAGGTGAATATTACAGAAATGAAGGAGTTTGTTAAAAATTGAAATCAAAAATTGAAATGTTTTTAAATTTCAAATGAAAAGATACTGTTTTGCTCTTTTTAAATCAATCTTGGAATAAGCTGCTACAATTTTAGCAAGAGTGGAGACCTCTCCAGGATCTTCTCTAAAAATAACAATTTTATTAAAGATTATTTTTTAAAACAAAAAGAAACAGAAACAATAAGAACAAAACAACAATAAAAATAACTAAAAAAAATAAAACAAATCAACAAAAAATAAATAACTAAAAAAAATCTACAAAAAATCTCACTTTCGGAGGTCTTCAAGAATTTCAACAGCAGATTTTATATCCCCATCAGCAAGTTTCAGATTTGAATTTTCTCTCATAAAAGCTAAAAGATGCACTTTCTTCAATATGTTCTAAAAAAGCAAATATATTTGTTGAAAAAGACCAACAATACAACAAAACACTAATTTTAATATTAAACCAAAATGTACTTGATTTTGTTTTCCAAATTTGACAGCTTCATCGAGATATTCAATTGCTTTTTTCCGATTACCAATGGAACAATATAAACCAACACACAGCGAAACCTTAAACATTTTAAAATAAATATTGATATATTTCAATATTTACTACAATATTACTGAAAATAAAATTTAGTTTTTGTTAGTAATATTTATTAAAATATTATATATTAGTATAATATATATTAGTATAATATATATATATATATATATATATATATATATATATATATATATATATATATATATATATACACACATATATATATATATATATATATATATATATATATATATATATATATATATATATATATATATATATATATATATATATATAGTATATTTAACAAAATACATCTTTTTCACTTAAACAGAAAATTTAAAAAATTAGTTATTTAAAAAAAAAGTTATTTTTTATGCTTACAAGGAAATAAAAAATATTAAATAACTTACAACAGCTGGAGAAAACTTAATTTCTTTTAATTCTTGCAAAACATTAAGAGCTTCTTCAGTTTTCCCTTAAAAAAAACTTATGTGATTAAAAAAAAACTAATCAAATAAAAATTTTTTGAAAAATAAAAATAAAAGCAACCTATTGAAAGATAAAAATTAAACCAACCTTTTGAAAGATAGAGTTGAGCAAGTGTGAGAATGATGTCATTTGATTTTAAACCAGAGAATAATGCTGACTGAAAACAAGTAAAATTAAAAAACAAATTTTTAAAATCCAATGCTATTTATATGTTATTAAAACACAAATTTTGCAATCAATTTTTTCTAATATTACTATTTTATTTTATTAACATTTGGCTTAAAAAACATTTGTGTGTAAAAAAACAAAAAAAAATTCAGAAAGAGGCAGGTCTCAAACCACAGACATGTTTACAAAGTCAACGCCTTATCCAAATAAGCTAAATGGGCATATAATTAGGTACAAATAATATACTTATTTTAAAAATTCTTCTTCATCCTATATAAAAAATAAACTTAATTAAAATTAACTAAATTAATTGACTTACTGCAAAACTAATTATTGAATATTGTTTTGTCATCAAGCAAGAGTATGTATGCAAAATTTGAAGGAAATCTATCATCAGGAAGTGACTCAAAAAATGATTCCAATATTTGATGTTCACAGGCAGACAGACAGACAGAAACAAGGAGTTAATAAAAGAATTGGGAAAAATAAAAAAAACTAAAACAAAGGTTTAAAAGTACTTTATAAATATAAATCAAGAAACTCTATAAAACCTTTTCTAAAGAAACATTTATATAAACGATAAATGAAGAATTGAATCAAGTGATATTTATATGTGCAAAAAAACAGCTTTTTTAAGAAACACATGAGGAGTAATCAAAACATTTATCATAAATCTAGGTGACAAAGATAGAACATTGGCATCAATAGTGTGAAGTGCAACTTAGTAATGTTTTCTTTTAATACCTTTTTTTCATACTTTGGTATCAATATTTTGATTTAGCTTTACTAACTAAAAAAAAAAATTATTTATTTCACTTTTAATTCAATAAAATATCATGAGTTTTAAAACCATGCTGTTTATCAGTTATAAATCTTGAACTAACAAATGCCTGTTATAAGCAACTTTTACTGTAAAAACTATAAGAAATGTATTGAAACTTGACATAATTTTAATAATATCTAAGATATTATTAAATATCTTGACATAATTTTAATATCTTAGATTTTACAACGATAAGCAAAACTACATCTAAAATAGACATAAACTCCTTAGAGTGTTGTTGTTATAAACATATGTTGTTATAATCTTAATATAAAACCAACAGACTTTACCTACTTAACTTTAAATAAAATATCATTCATAGCAACATACTGAGATGACCACCTGCAGAGGAGCAGGTATATGAAGGTTTTATATAACTGCTCTTCTGCAGGTATATAAAACCTATAAATGTTCTTTATATCTAGGTTTATACTACTTAAATATAAAGGACATTTATTATGGAAAAAGAAAAATTGTTTTTTCTTTTTCCATAATAAATGATTAAAGATCTTAATTAAAGATAGCATTTTAAAACTTTTTTAAAAAATATCACCATGACAGATAGAAACTCAGCTAATGTCAACATTCTTCTGTGATTTTAAACATACACACAGTAGCTTGATGTATATTTGAAATATTTGATAAATACCATTGTGTAATATTTGATAAATACCATTGTATAAAATAAAACTTGACAAATAAAAACTGTAATCTTACATTGGTGTGTATACACACTGAAGAAAAGAATAATAGATTCGAGAGCCATTAGATACTTTCAAGTATTTAAAACAAGGGTAGGAAAAGGAGGAGATTTTTCAATATATACAAATAGTATTGTACACTTAGTTAAACTCTTATCATACCTTTTTTAATTAAATTTTAACATAACTTATATATTTTTCATAGCTAATAATTTGCAAACTTAAAAACCACTAATAACTTGCAAACTTAAAAATCACTAATAACTTGCAAACTTAAAAATCACTGATAACTTGCAAACTTAAAAACCACTAATAACTTGCAAACTTAAAAACCACTAATAACTTGCAAACTTAAAAATCACTAATAACTTGCAAACTTAAAAAACACTAATAGCTTGTAAACTTTAAGGTAATAAGCAACATAAAAGGTACACAATATGTTATCTGTAAAGTGTTTGTCTGTGCTAGACCTCTGTAAAGTGTTTCTCTGTACTAGACCTCTGTAAAGTACTTCTCTGTACTAGAACTCAGTAAAGTCTTTCTTTGTACTAGAACTCAGTAAAGTCTTTCTTTGTACTAGAACTCTGTAAAAGACTTTGCTTTTTCAATTATTATAAATTATTTCAGATAAATTATTTCAAATTAAGGTTTTAAATTATTTATACATTTGAATACTTTTTAACCAAATTTAATAGATGTTTCAAAGCAAAATTAACTTTTAATGTTTTTGAAGAAACTATTTAACTAAAGCATTTATTAAAATAAACATAAAACTATATAGGTTGCAAAAAAAAAAAAGCAAATTATTTTGTCCTTTTCTGCAAAATACTTTTATATATATTAGGGATGGCTCTTTTACTTATATTGATGTAAAAACGCAAATTACTAACGTAAATTACTTTACATAACTCATATTAAAATATTTAATTTACTTACATTTAAAAGTATTTTTTTTTTTTACATAACATTATATAACATGTAAAACTTAACTACTTCAATTTATTTTAAATGCATAACTGTTACTTAAAAAATTTATTTATTTTTAAATAAATTTATTTTTTAAATAAATATTAGGCAAAAGTAATTTGCAGTACTACGCTTAACTTGTTTCTCTGCATAGCAACCTTGTTTGTGAAGGTTCGTGTTTTGGAGTTAAAGAGTTGAGAAAGAAAGTTGTAACTATAATAAAGTAACCTCCTTGACTAGAGTGGCCCTTCCGGCCATGGTGAGGTTATAAAATAAAACTACATCATAAAAATAAATTACTTTTCTTTGTAAAAAAAAAACTAATTAGCACAGGCAACTTACATAAAATTTATTTGAAAAAAATTGTTGTTTACAATTACAAATAAAAGTAAATTTTGTTTTTGAAATTGTATACTTTACTATGCATAATATCTTGCTGAGCTATTGGTTACTACCCATGCATGCAAACCTTAACTATGTGACTGTTCTGTTAAAGCACGCTTTTTCTACAGTTTTTTTCCTGTGTATTTTCCTTTTTAATCAAAGATTTTATTATGGTAATATGATGCAATATAACATGTTTAGTATTTGTGCGGACATAAAATGTTAAAACAGTTTTCAAAAAATTATAAGTAGGGTAAACCACCCAGTGGTCGACAGCTCCTCCAGTCATCAAGATTTTGTCACCAAAAAATATGCTTAGCTAACACTAACTTAAGTTAAGTGTCGAAATAGTGTCTGAAATGACTGAATATCTTTTCTTTATATATGAAAGAAATTTGGTTTGTAAACATAAAAATAAACATATACATCAATTTTGAGCAAAAAAAAAGTTCCGTAAATACCCTTAACTCATAGGAATAATTTTCATAACTGTTTTCAGATCACCACAAGAAACGCATGACAAATCTACTGTAACTGAAATTTTTTCTTTTTCATGCTGACACAGAAATAGATGAGATAACTGTACAAACCTTTAAAATCAAAACACTGAAAAGGGAGTGGGGGTAGAAGGAGTGTTGAAGACTGCTATGTTTTAGCTATCCAGACCTTTCAAATGGTTGGGTAGGGATTAAATATTTTTAAGACGGTTTGACTCAAAGAATAGTTTTTTTTTAAATCCATAACTATCATGGACTGGGACTAGAGAGGGTTTTAATCATGAGCAGAAACCTATAATTGATAATTTCAAACTTTACAGAGAAGACCTTACTTTAAATAACGAACATTTAGTTTGCAACAGACTAAATGTCGCTGTTTGCAACAGACCAAATGTCACTGTAAACTATATGTTAGTTCCTTAAAGTTTTACTTTTTTGCATTACTGTTGTACAAGATTCTCTTAAAAAATATTGTAGAAGTTCTTAAAGTTATTGTATAAGTTATTTCTTAAAGTTATTGTAGAAGTTATTTCTTAAAGTTATTGTAGAAGTTATTTCTTAAAGTTATTGTAGAAGTTATTGTATTACTTTTAATTTATCTTAAAAAATATATAAAATTTAAGCTTATGTAATTTAAATTTCATTATATTTGTAAATTTAATTTACATTTGGTAGCACATTAATTTTATGTAATTCATTTTCATAATTTAATAGTAAACAGCTTTTTCATGTGATTTGCTTTAACATATAAAAGTAAAATACTTTTTGATGTAATCTACTTTTACATAACTTATTTTGATGTAATCTACTTTTACATAACTTATTTTTGAAAAAAACTTTATAATTATAATCTTAAATAAAAGTCGTTTCATTAATTTTTTACATAAATGTAAATTTAATTTGAACTTTTAAAATTATTTATGAAATTTACTTAATTTCATAAAAATTTACTTTCTCATGAAAGTAAAAAAAAGTAAATAAAAGAGCAATCCCTAGTACATTTCATTAATTTCAACCTGAAAAGCAAATCTTTAATTATTTTGATTTAAAAAAAATAAAAATAAAATAAAAACTAGATTAAAACATTTGAGCTTACTTTTAAATGTTCATGCGCTTGTTCAAGATTTTTGTCTTTAAGAAAAATAGCAGCTTCCAAAAGTACTGTTTTATCCTCGTAACCGGGTAAGGCTAAAGTGGTTTTAAGTTGTTCAATGCACTTTCGACATTTATCCATCTAAATAAATTTGATTTGTTTTACACAAAAAATTGATTCAAAATAAAATTAGGTCACTCTTGTTTGCTCATATCTCAAAGAAATCACACAGATCATTCACACTTGCTACTGCTTACTGAACAAAATTAAACTAAAACCAAACTGAGTTAGAATATATATTTAAAAAACACAAAATGAGGTGGTTTGTTTAACTCTGGAAAAAACATGAAAATAAACATTTTGTAAACTATTTTGGAAAAATTGCTTTTTTTGTTTGTTGGAAAAACAAGGAACAAGGAGCAAAATAAATGCCCAGTGCTCTATTCAATGTTTAATGGTCAGGCACTTTGAGGAAATGGCATATTTGTACAATATTGTTAATATATGTTAATATTGTACAAATATTATTAAAAAACCCCAATTTTCCCAAATTTATTACGCTATTCCTTCCCTCTAAAAATTCATTACACTATTCCTTCCCTCCTAAAAGACATTACGCTATAAGGACTATGTTTATTACTTATTTGGTATATAAACAATCAACTTAAACAAGATTTAAAAATGTTTTGTAACTTAGAAATAAAAGTTGAGAAAGTTTTGACACAATAATTTAATAAAACTTAAATAAATAATAGTGTCAATAATATTTTCTTTATTTTCACTATTGTTTATGTTTTCATTATTTTCACTGTTGTTTATTTTATAAAATTTATTAAGTTATTGAAGCTTTAGAGAACTAAGTTTAAAGAACTTCAAAATTAAACTTATAAAATTCCATTCAGTTGTCAACTCTCGTATAAATAAAGAATGATAACAAAATGCTAACCTGATTAGTATGCATATACAAAAGACATTTTGTAATTTCAAGTGTTCTTAGTTGGCACTTTGTTAATTTATTTTGAAGATCATCACAAGATACTGATTTCAGACGCTTCTTTGAATCAAATAAATCACGTTCCTTGTAAAAATAATTAAAAATTTTTCTTTAAAAACATATAATAATGAAAATACATTTTTTTCAATCAAAAAAACAAAAACAAAATTTTCAAATATTTTATGCCATTTTTTCTAAAATATAAGATAAAATATTCTTAGAAGAGTTCAAAACATGTCTAGATTTTACAATAAAATAATTATTTAAATGAAACCATGAAATGATTGCTTTTTTGAATGATCATGCTTTTCAATGACTTCTGTTTTACATTTAAGTATTAAAGCCTTTGGAAAGTACTACAATAATACTACTATAGAGGAAAAATTCCGCATTTCAAGTTAAACAGTTTTTGTGTTTTGAGATATTTTCTAAATTATAAAATTTTTATGTATTTATATAAACTTATTTATCATTTATTTTTATTTAAAACAAAAGAAAATATATAAAATAAAGTTATAGTTATTAACTGTAGTAAACTTATTTTAAATAATAGATAAAATTTCAGTTTAGATTACCCATATAAAAACTGAACTTGTTAATAGATAACTTATAGTTTATCATAAGTAGATAATTTAAGTAGTTTATTTGTCAGTATTTTATATTGTTTACTATGTGTAGTAAATATGTGTAGTGTAGCAAATAAAATAAAAGTAAAAACCTTATGTATTGATATAATATTGTTTGAAACAACTGCAGAAAGAGTCATATCAGTTTGTTTTCCTTTCATTACACTATTATATGCCGATAAAGCTTCAGTAGTCTTTCCTTCTAATTGATAGATATAACCAAGTTGAGCTCTAGCGAGAGAACAATAAAGTTATAAAGTAATTTAACAACATGCTAATAATAATTTTTATAGTGTATATTATAACATGCTAATAATAATTTTTATTGTGTATATTAGTATATTTTAATTTATTTAAAAATTAAACCTATTTAATTTATCATTTTTAAATTATTTTTTTAGCAATCAATGAGAATCAAGGAAATTCAAAATATCTTAATAAAAATGTCCAACGTAACAGTAGAAAACCTAAATATATTTATTGTGTGACACAATTCTAATTGTCTTTTTTAAAAGTGTCAAACCATTATGGTCAAAAGCAATAACATTTTTAAATTTTTAAAACAAACCTTATAATCTTTAAATCATAAAAAAAAGCTGATTCATTTTTATGGCAATTTGTTTTTAATTTTTTCAAAAGTTAAAATTTTCATTTGACTTGTTTTGAAGTCAATATGTTATTTGTTCTCTTTTTTTGGTTAAACTGATATTGAGCATTTTTAAGTTATGTGTAAAATATACACTAAGGTAGGGTGGGGTAATATGGATAGGTGGGGTTAATATGGATATATCGTATTAGCATACATTGAATAAATTATCTATACAAAATGCTAACACTTGGAACATAACAACAGTTACAAAATGCTGAATATAACAACAGTTTACAGATATAAATAGCTTTTTTGAATTAACAATGTTTATTAATTTGTTTGTAAATTAATTAATTTGTTTGTTTTAAACAAATTAATTTGTTTTAAACAAATTAATTTGTTTTAAACAAATTATTAATGAATAAAGTAAAAAAATGTAAAAAAAAAACAAAACAAAATATTTTTATGTCAAAAAACTTTTATACATCTATTTAAATAATTTTACTGAAGTTTGTAGCTTCAGTAAAATTATTAAAGTATCATAATGTAAATTTATCATGTAACATTATGTTTAGTTTAATTTATAAATTCTCTCACACATATTGAGAAAAGATCTAAAAAGAACTAAAATATTGTATACAAATACTTATACAAATGAATGTCAGTAAAAAGGACGGCCATAAAATTTTTAAAATCTTATAAAAATCTTTTTTAAAAAAATCATAAATCAAATAACAGATATTTATCTATTTATACTTACTTTGCTTTTTTATATAGTATTATATATTTAACAGGTACATATAATATATATAACTCTACTGAACTATTTACAATTTTTGCTGAATGGCCAGGGTAAAATATTAGACCAAAAATTTATATTTTATATCTGATTTTTATTTGCAGTTATTCAATTTTTTCATAATATTTATGATAAAATATTGATAAAATAAATTATCAAAACACCTTGTCAGTATTAAGACAGCTCAGTATACAATGCATCAAAATCTACTGGAATTCCTTATGGAATATTATTGCTTTTCAAAAACTACCAGAATATCAAATCTGGAGATCAAGATCTACTGAATTCTTTATGGGACATTATGGATGCTATATAATTTGTTAATGCAGATGATGATATCAAACTGATGGTGAAATCCTATATAACTTTAACTGGTAAAAACATTCCATTCAAAGATAACAATCCATTAAAAAACTGGCAAATATCTTTTGAAAGATGATGGAATGAAGTATTTGGGAAAAGAGAACCTGAACTTTTAACAAAAGCAAGAGCTATCTATAAAATCTTTTAACAAAAGCAAGATCTATCTCTAAAAATACTGACTGCTTTATTTGAGTTATATGAGAAGACATTAGATGAAAACAATTTATTCAATAGACCTTCATGCATTTTTAATTTAGATGAAACTGGTTTACAGACAACAGATCCTACTGCTGAAAAAATCTTTGTTCGGAAAACATCAAAAACAGCCTATTACCTTGCTCCATCATGTGGTAAATATATGCTGTTGAGTTGATCAGCAAAATGACCAGTGTTTACCATCTTTGTAGCCTACAAAACTCTATGCTGTTATGATTAATGGTGTAAAAATGGACAAGTATATACATTGGATAGCATAACATCAGGTTAGATGGATGACTTTCTTTTAGAAATATAACAATCATAAAAAAATTTTGAAATATAACAACATAACAATCGGGTTAGATGGAGGTCTTTTTGAAAGTTGAATTGACAGGTTTATAATACATGTAAAGGATTTTGAAAAGCCTGCGTTACTGCTATGTGATGGAAAAAATAGCCATTTAACGTATTCTATTGTTAGAAAAGCTCAAACACCAAACATTGTTCTAGCAAGGATACAAAAATAAGAGAAGAAAAAAGATTAAAAAAAGACTGTGTCAGCAAGAAAAAGGATACTGTTAGATGTAGGCAATAAAATTTTGACATTTCAGAACATTTTTAATATACAAAAAATAATAATTAAGATACATACACCATTTATTTATTTGACATTTTAGGACATTTAAAATATATGAAAAAGAACAATTAGGATACATACACCATATATAAAATGTGTATTCATGTTACCCACCAGTAGAGTAATATGAATATAAAAAAATTGTTATTAAAAAAGGAATATTGAGTTAGTTATTGAAATTATATTTAAGTTCTATGTGAAGTTATTGTATACATCTTGAATGTAAAAAAAAATAAGAAAATGATTCATTATGGCAATACAATAAACAATTATTTCATATTAAAAATAATACCATACGACAGGCTGTCAAGTTGTCATTTTTTTTTTAATTTTTTTTAATGGTTCTTTAATTTAAAAATACATTTAATGTATTTTTGATTGTAAAAAATTCAACAAAAAACGAAAAAAATACAAAAACAAATTTAATTATAAAAAAGAAATTACAGTTAACTCGAATACTAATAAGTTAAAAACTTGAACTTTTGTTATCTCCAATTGTTTCATCCAGTCCCTTGAAACCCTCTAATTGATTATTATAAAAGCTCTCCAGTTAAGTCAAACCTCGAATAAATAAAACTTTGTTAAGTTGAATAATTTTTTTGTCCCCTTTCAGCAAATTCCTTTGGATAACTCAGACTTTTCATATAGAAAATAAAGAAATCACAATAACTTATTTTTTTAGGGAAGACATTAGAATAATAGATAGAAAAATTCCATATAAAAAATAAATAACAGTAACCATAGTAAATAAATAACAGTAACCATAGTAAATAAATAACAGTAACCATAGTAAATAAATAACAATAACCATAGTAAATAAATAACAGTTTTGTTGTATTTGGATCTTAAGAAGTATTATAAATAAATCACAATAAAATTAAAAACGCAGTTATTTTTTAGTTTTAATAAATTTCTTAATAAAGACCAAATAAAAATTATAAAATTACCAAATAATAAGGAAGTCATTGTGCTGCCAAACTTTTATGAATGTTATCTTTTGAGTGTACAGAATAAATACGTAACTTCCTCCGCTGAAACGTTATTTACACTTTTATTAGAATAATGGTATATATTTAAGGTTGACACTTTAGCATTGAATAAAGAACTGCCTTAACAGTGCCAACAACATAAGTTGTTGGCCTTGTGAGGGGAGGGGCACAATTTAAAGTTCAAAAAAAAGTCCTCTAAATCATGAAATTTCTAAAAAAAGAAAAGAAAAAAAGAACGCACCCTCTAAACGTGCCCTCTGTCCCAACTGGTGGCATCTGCCATGCTCAAGTCAAACTAGTATCTTATTTCAGCTGAAGTTCAACTTAACAAGAATTCGCTTTAGTTGAACATTCATTGTTGAACCATTTTTCTTGGTCCCTTAAAGGTTCAAGTTATCGGGAATTAACTGTAATATATAAAATCTATAAAAAATGAGAACTTGACAGCCTGCTATGAACATCTTTAAATTTTTCATGTGGTTAAGCTTATGGGCAATTTCATGGGAAAACATCCAGGGCATGAAACCTAAAGTCATAACTTATTTATTGGTGTAAAAAATCAGCAAAATCTGAGACTTAGGGTTGCATTTTATAAAAAAATGGGATGTGTTTGCATGAAACTGTACTTATATAATGTTTAAAAGTGGAACCACAAACAATATAGGGTAGAAAATCTGAATTTTTTATTTTTAAATAAATAAAATAAATAAGTATAAGTGTAATGAAAATGGATGCTTCTCTCTGATGTTTATTAATGAAATATGCAAACAACAATTAGCAATGTATTACAAATCTACACTAAAAAAATAAAATAAATCTGGATTATTGCAACTATGTGCACAAATTACTAAACTTTTAAATTCTTAATTACTTAAAATACTTTTTGATAAACATTATTTATCATATTATCGTTATCATATTTGTATACTTATACTTTTTTAGACTAAATCAAGTTAAATTATCAAATAGATTAAATCAGAAAAAACTGGAACAAATAATAATAAATTTATTTTTATTATTTATACTAAAAACCCGCATATTATATTTAAAACATGTGATTATAATATATAACCAACTTTTGAATCTCAATTTTGTAAAATCTCTTTTTATTATACAAAATTTAATTTAATGGATATTTTTGAATTTCTGTAACCAGAAAGCAAATCACATTTTATGAATGATCTGTATTTCTATTATTACAACAAGTAGGTTCTAAAAACAACTTTTTTTGAAATGGCTGCTGGCACCCCCTGAATATATTGTATATAATAAAAAAATGCTAGATTTAAAAAATTTTTGAACAAAAAAATATTTTAAGGGGTTACCAGCCCTCGAACATTATATAGGTATAATATTATTGAAAAAAAAGTTTTTTAAAATTATGTCATGTTGGGTTTCAATTGAAGCAAAATTATATAAAAATTTAAAAAATATTAATCATTTTAAAATTAAATTTTTTATTTTAGATTTTAGTGAACAGAGAAATACGTTTTTTAACTAAAAAGAAACATATGGAATTTAACAAGATTTTTTGATTATAACTTTTTTTTTTATCAATGTTTTTTTATAAATTGAATATCATTTTTTAAAATTTTTATATAATTTTGCTTAGTTTGAGACCCAACATGACATAATTTTGAAAAACTTTTTTTTAATCCTTTGACTGTGGCAAGCCACAGATCGTAGATAGTACGGCAAGCCACAATCGGGATTTTTAAAACTGATCTTTAAAACTATCATCTTTATTGCGAAAATTATTGTTTTCCTAAATATCATTCAATATTTACACAATAAGGGCTTAAATTTTTTGTTTGTAGATGTTATAAAAACATTTTTGTTTTTTTTAGTTGAATTTTTCTAAACATCTTTTAATTTTATCAAACAGTCAAAGGGATAATAATATTAGGGACCTATTTAATGTTCGAGAGTCATTAGCAACCCTTTAAAATACTTTTTATTCAAAAAATTTTTAAATCCAGCATTTTTTTATTACATACAACATATTCAGGGGGTGCCAGTAGTCATTTTCAAAAATAGTTGTTTTTAGCACCACCCTAACAAGCCATATCCATAATTTATATATTGAAAAAAAATGTATTAAAAAATGTATTAAAAATTTGTTTACAAAGCATTGAAAAATACAATGGAAAATACACCAGTAAAGAACATAGAATACGATTCTAAAGTTTTATAGTTTATATTTTCAATTTTGACTGAGTAAACCTATTCAATTATGTAGAATCTACAGTTATAACTTTTTAACTTTTTACAGTAATAGTAATAAGTAATAAATTACTTTGATTGTCATTTAGAAAAATAACAAAAATAATAATAATAAAAAAAGAAAGTAAATTAAAAAAACAATAATCAAAAAGATTATTAATTTAAACAATTACATTTTTAATGCACAAATTAAAAATAATAATAACAAATGCACCTTATGACCCCTAAATCTTCCTCAATTTCTTCTTCAGTTATCTCCTAAAAAAAACAACAACAAATTTCTGAAACATTTACTTTAATTTAAATGAAGATCACAAGGAGATTATTTAACTCCTTTAATCCTTTTGAATATATTAAGACACTGCAAACCTAAGTGCACAGAAATCTATCTATCTATCTATTTATCTATCTATCTATCTATCTATCTATCTATCTATCTATCTATCTATCTATCTATCTATCTATCTATCTATCTATATATATATATATATATATATATATATATATATATATATATATATATATATATATATATATATATATATATATATATATATAAATATATACATATATATATATATATATATATATATATATATATATATATATATAAATATATACATATATATATATATATATATATATATATATATATATATATATATATATATATATATATATATATATATCATATATATATATATATATATATATATATATATATATATATATATATATATATATATATATATATATATATATATATATATATATATATATATATTAGTGGTGTACCAATAGCACATATGTGGCCGATGCTGATAGATGGAAAAAGGCTGATACCGATGCAAATGAATTAACTAATTATTAAAATTATGAACATATAAAGCCATAGAACTTCAAGTCGTGTAAACTTTTTCATTTAATCAGTAATGTTAAACAAATACTTGGACATAATTCAGAGCCAAACCATTATCTTATAAGATATTAGAAAAACTCAGATATAAAAAAATATTATTTTTTTTACTATGAAAAGAAAACTTTCAAAAAATAAATACAATTTTAGAGGAACACTTTTTATCTCAATTTCAAAAATAAAAATGGTACTAAGATCAGCAGTTTACTTAAAATTCTTCATTAATTTATTAGTAATTTAGATATCTAAACAACAATCATATAGAAATATAGAAGGCTATACTTGAACACATATAGATAACAATGCTTAAATAGGTTACTTTTAATTATAACAATAGAACAACACCAAATAAAACTATTCTAAAAACAAAAAATATAGTAATATAAGTAAAAGTACATTCAGTTTTTAAATTAAAGCTTATAAACATCATCTTATAAATAAACAAATTTCTCAAAAAACTTCTAAGAAATGCATAAAGTTTAGTTTACTATTTATTATTATCATAATGCAGGATAAAAATATAACCATGCTATTGATTTGAAAATTGTTAAATTAATAAAAAAAAGGCTGATGTCGATTCCGATTGTGCAAAAAGTGTCTGATTAATTTTTTGTTATATATATATATATATATATATATATATATATATATATATATATATATATATATATATATATATATATATCAGGACTTGAATTAACGCAAAAAAGTCTAATCGCAAAAAAAAAAAAAAAAAAATTCACAACCCCCTCCTTATACCTTGCGCTGCTTTGCGGTAATAGGGGGGAAGGGAGTTGAGGGAAATTGCGTTAATATATTATTGTAACTTTTGTACGTCATTGTTCTATTTTTAACATATTATCTCTCATATTCAAATATAATCTTATAATTTTCTTGTTTGGCAGAGTTTAAAATAGCGTAAGTTACTGTTATTATTTACAACTTAAGTTATAACTAAAAGTTTAAGTTGCAGTTGTAATAAGCATCAACGTTTTTAATACTATTAAGATGTTTCTTTAAGTGTATTTTTACTTAACATGATACTTAAAAAAGTAAAAGTAAAAAAGTAAGAGAAAAAGCAACATTATAATATCTAAACCACTTTAATTAGTCAAAGAAAACTATTTAATACGTTCATGCTAACGTTAAAACACGTGTTAATTTTAAAAAGTATTTAATTGTTAAAAGTTATAAAGCAACATTAAAACAAACTGCAAAGTTGTTTTAAAAATATAAAGAGCTTGGGTTAATGTAAAACAAATTTGTGATGCTGTTTCAAGTTAATTTATACGGTTTATAAAATAAAACTTGTTTAAAATAAAAGGAAGTAAATAAATAAAATTAATCTAGTTAATAAACTAAAATAAAACTTCATATTTGCGCCTATAGACCTATACAAGTTTACAATCTATAGACCAAACAAGTAGGATCAAAGTGAAAAAACATTAGATACCACGTCTTTTATAAATTATTGTTTCCTGATCAAGCGTACTATTAAAAATTTAAGTATAGTTAAGTTTTTTTTATTCAAATGGTTTTTAAGCTGATGTTTTCATTCATTTTTTTTTTCTAATTGTTTTCCAAAAAAAAGTGAAACAAAAAATTTTGTTTAATAAATCGAATTATATTAAGTATAAGAATATGCTCAAATTATTTTTTTAGAAAATTTTTTTTTTGAACAGAAGTAAAATAAATTTATTAAATTTAATTTAAATTTTTTATAATTTTTATTTTAAATTGCAATTTGCAATCACTGCTTTGATGTTTGCAATAGAATGTTTCTACTTTTAAAAATATTTTTAAGAAAAAATATATAATTCAAAACATTAAAAAAATTTACAATTTACGAAAAAAAAAAAAAACTTTCTTCTTCATTCTCCCTTGTTTCATCAAACTTTTTTTCAATTTTTCAATTTTTTTTTAATTTCAAATTTCAATCACAAAATTATTTAAATAAGTGAATTTTAAGGCTAAAGTTCTCTTGTTCAAATAGATTTCTTTTTAACGAAAATGTTTAGTCTAGATGTCACTATAAATAAAATGAAGATATTAAAAAATGGTGTCGCGTTTTTCATATTCTATTCGACAACTTTTGTTAAAATAATTATTAGTTAAAAGCTTATATTATGTGTTAACAACATGTAAAATCTAAATTAAAACATGTCTATGGCTAACTTTTTGCGAGTATGTTAAATAAATTAATATAATTGTTAAATTAATACTTGAGTAACTGTAAGTTACTATCTTTACTTAACTGGTTGTTTTGATTTAGGTTATAAGTTCATTTACTGTGATATACTCTATCCATTCAGTAAAGTTAACTAAATATAACTTCAAGGTCGTTAAAGCAAAAAACGTGAAAGCAAAAAAGCTGCTGGTTTCTATTAGCACAATTTTACTAATAGAAATTTAATTTAATAAAAATGAATTAATATATATTTTGTTATACTTCAAGTATTAAAAATAATTATATAAAATTGTTTATAAAATAATAATTCAAATCATTATTAAGTTAATTTGGAGCGATGTTTTTTTTTAAAAAAAGATAAAAATGTTTTGTTAAAAAAAATAGAATGAAGAAAAAAATCTTTTTAACTTTTGTCTTTTTAATTTGCTTCAACGCAGAGATTTAAAGTACTTTAAATTAAAAAGTGCTTTACATTGAATAAAAATCTCTGCGCGAAAGAGCAAATGATCATGCATCATGGATAGAAATTCAAAAGATAAACTTTGCATGACATACTTTACTATGAAAACATCACTTTTAAGAATTGTCAAAAAAAAAGTAGCTAAATTAGAAAAATAGTAAATAATATATATATATATATATATATATATATATATATATATATATATATATATATATATATATATATATATATATATATATATATATATATATATATATATATATATATGTATATATGTATTATATATATATATATATATATATATATATATATATATATATATATATATATATATATATATATATATATATATATATATATGTATATATATATATATTAGGGTGGTCCTTAAAATTTTTTTTTTTTTAAATGTCTGCTCTCACCCTCTTAATGTGATCTATATAATAAAATAATACTAGAATTAATACTAAAATAATAATAGAAAATTTTCGAAGAAAAAAATTTTTTAGGGGTAACTCAAGACCTTTAAACATCAGATAGGTCCCTGTAGTTATCAAAAAAAAAGAGTTCTTGAAAAGTATAGCATGTTGGGTTTCGAAAAAAGCGAAATTATATCAAAACTTCAAAGTAGTCATCATTTTATTAAAAAAAATTATTATTTTAGATTTAACTGCCTAGAAAATAACATTTTTAAACTAAGAACTAAAAATATGCATTAAAAAAAAAAATTATTATAAATTTTTTTCTCTTGATGTTTTTTATAAAATGATAATTATTTTTAAAATTGTTATATAATTTCAGGATTTAGCAAGTTTGGTGTTATTCTGTCTTTAATGTTCCACATATATAATTCATGTTCTACTTTATATACATAAGTGAAATTGATAGTAAACAAGATTATAAGAAAGAATTAAGTTAGAAATGAAATTGAATTTAAAAACTTCTTAAACTTTTTAAAAACATTTATATCAACTTAAAAAATTAGCAAAATATTTAATAAGGAAAAAATTAAAAAGTTAATTCTTATAAAATTAAAAAGAGCTAAGTTAATTCATATGAAATTTCTAACATCTTTATAGGGGCTTATAGGGGTTAATTCATATACTTGGTCATATACAAATACATTAAACCAATCACCAAATTTGGCTTTCGATGAACATGAAATGTTAAATTCCAAAAAAATAACTCCAAAAACCCTTTCTTTTATTAAAAATTCTAAATTATTTTGCAAAATTTGCTGGTAAAAATCAACTAAAACAGTTAAATATTTTGATGCTTTAAGTTAGTTTTTATTTTTAAAAAATTGTTTAATATCAGCAGCATTCAATTAAAACTCAATATATCTCTTATAGTTTACTAAAAACATTTAATATCAGCAGCATTCAATTAAAACTTAATATATCTCTTATAGTTTATAAAAATTGCATCTACTCCTCAAAACTTTTTCAATTATTTTTTTTTTAACTTTTGTATAAACTAATAATATAATTAAAACTTTTAACTCTTTTTTTTAAACAATATTTATATTTTTAATACTTTAATTTTTCAAACAAATATTTTACGTAATACAACACCATCAGTAAGCCATATTTAAGTCATGTTTCATTCTAAATTTTAAAGAAATGTTTCCTTCTATTTTAGTTAAATTAACCATTATAACCACTAGAGGTGTAAACTAACCATTAGAGGTGTAGTGGTAGAGCACTCAGTTCATAAGTGAGAGGTTACAAGTTTGATCTCCATCACTTCACTGGTACTGTGCTCAATTTGTTTGAGCACAGTAAACAGCAACCTAGGGTTCAATCCATATTTAAGTAACCTCCTTGTCTGTAGTTGCATTCTCGGCCTTGAGGAGGTGAATTTACACCACCACCACAACAACAATCATGCCTTTTTTCAAATCATGACTTTTTTAACAACCTTCCAAATCATGACTTTTTTCAAATCATGATCTTTTTTTTTTCAAATCGTGATCTTTTTTTTTTCAAATCATGATTTTTTCTAAAGTAATTATATGCAATTCAGTTAAAAGCAAATTACACTTATACTATAATTAATACTAAATAGCTATGAATGTTGGGTAAAAAATAACTAATACTAAATAGCTATGAAATACTAAATAGCTATGAAATACTAAATAGCTATGAAATACTAAATAGCTATAAATGTTAAGTAAATAATAACTAATCACTGAAAGATTTTGTTAAAATAAAAAATCAAATGAAATATAAAATATAATAATAAACAATTTCTTTTATCATCAAATAAGGAAAATTAAAAAAATTATAAAACAATAATAACTTTCTGAAAATTCATAGAATAAACCAATATCTATGCGTTTCATTGATTGGATGGATTAATATTTGATTATCATTAAAAAAAAATCAAAAATTAGAAAAAACAACTATTAACCTCATCTGCTTCTAAACTTTTACGACAAATAGCTAAAAAAAAACAAAACAATGAGAATAATAGTAAAAAAAAAAAGGTTTTATCAAATTAAAAAAATTTAAGATTAAGTAAAACCTTCAAGATAATTAAAATCATTAAATTTAAAACAATTAAAAAAAAAAAATTAAAATCATTTCAAAAAATTCAACCTTCAGCATTTTTCAATACTTGCTCAGCTTTGTTTAAATTTCCCTGTGCTATTAGTAAACAACCATAATTGTAGCAGAGCTCATATGTATCAAGTCGAATTTGTGAGTGACCCTAATTTTTAATCAAATATTTTTTTAACACTAAGATTTTATGACAATGCACAAAAATAACATTTGTAATATTTGATTTATTTAGAAAACAAACCCATTAAAAAATCAATTTAAACAATTTGTTTTTTTTTTAAAATACTAACCAAATCTTCATTTTTCCACATTTTTGATGCTGCAATAACAGCTGCCATGTTAGCTTCTCTTTCATTGCCAAATTCATCCTAAATTATTTATTGTAAAATTTAAAAGTGTTATCAAGTTAGTTAATTTAATATTATATTTATATTTTTTATTAAAAATCTAATAATAGTAAAAATCATTGATAAAACATTATTAACAACCGAGGAAAAAGTATGGAAACTAAATAAAAACACAACACACAGTCAACCTTTTTTTCAATAACTAAATAAAGCAAGAAAAGTTTTGAACATATTTAATTTATTCATCATCAAAAACTGAGTAATTACAGAAATATGCATATCTCAAATATAGTAATATAGGCATCCCAAGGATGGCAAATCGTTTTTTATGAATGCAATGACTAAATTTATGTTTGACAAATCTAGTAAAATTAAATAAGTAAAAGAGTCTTAGCGAATTGAAAGTCTTTGCAAGAAGAACATTGTTGTCTAACTTGTTATTTGTTTATATATACAAAATATATTTCTTATACTTGACCATTAATTTTAACCTTCTCATATTTAACCATGTATATTTGACCTGATTGATTTTAATTTTTATCACATAATTATTACAGATTGTTCAATAAGCATATTTTACTTTTTCAAAAAATAATTGTATTTGCAAAACTGTCTGTCAAAGAAAATCTTTTTATTAATTTAGTTATAGACAAAACATGATTGTGTCAAATGTCATTAAAATAAACAAATACTTTTATCTTTTAAAAAACGGAATCTAAGTAAACATTCAATAACATAATTACATAATAACATTGCTACATTGTTTTGAGTTAATTATTCAATTAAACTAGTTTTGCTGTAATTTAGTAGGTAGTTCCAAAAAGTTTAAGTTGGCGAATAAAGAATTTGATGATATCAAAAAAGTTGACGCCATAAAATTCTTACATGCAAATGTGTTAAGCAATTTTTATTCATCACAAGGCCTGAAACTTGTATGTCAAAACTCATTAAAATATTTGATGGCATGCCACAATTTTTTGTTTGTTTATTTGACAAAAGATGGAGCCATAATATATACAAAAAAAAAATTTTGTTAGCTATAACCAGATATAACCAGATGGTACCATGATATTAATTGAAAACAAAAAAACCTGACATATTGAGACAGGTTCAAATTTGGATGCTAGAAACGCATTTTTGCAAGTTGTTTTTCTTAAAAAGGACAATATTTAAAACCTCTGTCTAGAATTAACAATAACACTTTTAAAAAATTAACATGCTAATTGTTCACTTTAAAATTTATAATACAACTTAATCTGGCGGTCACTCTGGTCCAAATATATGTACAGCTCTGGTCCAAATATATGTACAACTCTGGTACAAATATATGTAGTGACCAACATGTTCATAGTCTCTGGACACCAGTGAACAAAAAAAAGTAGAGATATATGGCAGGAGTCTTTTTAGGACTTCACATCCCTGATTGCTAGACTTTTAAAAACAGTTAATTTAATTCTTTTTTTATTATATAAAAAAGTAAATAAAGATAGAGTCTTATTTGAATCTCCTTATTTTAAAAACTCTAAGTCACCGCAAGGTGTTACTGTAAAAAATTAATTTTTTTAATTAAAAAATCACTCTAATTTGAACTTTTATTTTCCATTATAAAATTTGAGTTGAAGAGATTGTAATGTATAAAAAAAAAATCATTCTGGTTATAAATGTACACTTGCATAACTACTTACAGCAGAGTTTTTGATGACATTAATGTAAAGGTCCAAACAGCTTGAATATGACTCCAATCTGTATTCCTACATAAGAAAAAGTTAATTATTATTAAAAAACACTTGACACTTTTTTAATATTAAAAATTTTTTTTTAACGCAAATGCTCAACTATGATTATAAACAACTTTGATCATAAATTGATTTACATTTTATATCGCATTTAAATATATATATATATATATATATATATATATATATATATATATATATATATATATATATATATATATATATATATATATATATATATAAATATATTGGAAAAATTATTATAGACTTTTCAGTTTTTAAATAATAATTAAATTTTTTACTTCAAAACATAAAAATAAAGTTACAGACTATATATTCCAGGTATATCAAAGATTTTAATATTTGGTTGGAACACTTTTGGCAGCTTTTAATGCTATCACTCTCTTGGGCATGCCTATGATTAAATCACGGCATAACTTTATGATTATTTCGGTGTGGAACCAGACATGGATTAAGCTCTCTATAAGCTGTGGTTTTGTAATTATTGGAACTTTGTGCCTTTGGTCATTCAAAATGTCCCATAAATTCTCATTTGGGTTTATATCTGGTGAATTACCAGGCCATTCGAGTACAGATAATCCATTGCTTCGGAACCATATCATTGACAACTTTCCTGTATGGCAAGGAACACAATCCTGTTGAATTATTAAGTCCTTATCAGTGAACCAGTCTCTCTGGTTCATCATTCCTTCCACAATATGTAGACAGCTTGTTCCATAGATGGATATTGCTCCACATACCATGATCTTAGTAGACAATTTAATTGTTTTTTTTAGACACTCAGGCTTAAACTCCTTTCCAGGCCTTCTTCTGACTGCCTCAACTCTATCATACAACACAGCAATTGTTGACTCATCTGAGAATACTAACCAAACAAAAAAAAATGCCTGATAACTTTCAAAGAAATTATTGTACAAACATTACATTAATAGTCATGATCAACAAGTTAATACCTACTGATATTAGTCAAAGAATATAATGAAACTGAAATAAATCAAGAAACCAATACTATCAGAGATCTAACAGAAAGCTAAATTAATGATTACCTTTGACAAATCTTCTTGCATCCAACTTTCATGTTTAACGGCCCATCCATGCCTGGCATGCTTCAATTTGTTCATGAGTCTTGGCTTTTTCCTTGATCTGTATGCCTTCAGTTCCTGCTCCAACAAGTTATTATTCACTATTTTACGGCTTACATTAATGCCCCTGAACTGCTAATTCCATAGATATCTTCTTGCAAGAACTTCTCTATCTCTGAAGGTAATTACTTTGATTTTCTCTTAAGTCTGGGGTTAGTGATTCTTTTACGACCACATTTTCCAACTCTCAAGCTTCAATGTTTCTACCTTCATCCAGCTTCCTTTTCACTGCGCTAACTGTTTGTGTTAAAATCTTTAATTTCATAGCTATCTCCTTTTGTTTTAGGCTACTACTCTTTAGCAAAACACAGATTTGTCCTTTTTATGTAGGGTTCAGGACATTTCTTTTCCTCATCAGTTCAAAATCTGCCAAAAATGTCAAAAACGTTGCTAAGCAATAATTTTTTTTTTAGAACTGAAACTTAAAATTTGTAGAGTCTAAGTAGATACTAAGTACACCATACACCACAGAGAGTAGAAAAAAGTGGTGCGAACTTAAACTAACATTTCAGAATTTATGCAACTTTTCTGTCTAGCTCTTAAATGACCCTAAAATTAAAAAAACTAAATCTAAACAGATTTTATTTGACAATAAAATAGTCCAACTAGTATAAATATGTATATCATTAAAACAAAAAAATATCATTGACCACTGAAATTTTTTGACCACTGAAGGTTGCCTCAATTAATGGAATTTAGTGAAAATTCTAAAAATCTATAATAATTTATTCAGTACTGTATATAATATACACACACACAGAGCTTGGTAAAAAATGATAACGACAATAAATTGCCAACCTTAAACTGTTAGAGGTTGGCAAATTTGAAAAACAATGGTTTTACCATAAGATAGAAACAAGTTTGGCAAGTTTTTGTAGATCATATACATTTTTAGGTTAGCATTGCTAAATGCTGGCCACAATTCCTAGGGAATACATACATATTAACATATATAAATATGTATATATACACACATTTATACAGATGGGTGAACATAAAAGATGGAAAACTGCACTCATCTCCTGGAAAGGCTTGCCGGGAGAAATTGATTGTGCATGTCATGATAAAGCTACTTAAGCTCTTAAATGTGCTCAGGTAATTAGTCCTAATAAGCTGTGAATGGTCTGAAACTTATTAAAATAAATTAATAAGCCCATCCTGCCATACCACTGAGCTATCCAAGTTATGCATTTAAGAGTAAAAAAAACTGTAATATAAATCTCTTATTAGCTCATGGGCTGGCTAACACCCTGATACGGAAAAGGTGCGTATGATAATTTTTTTTTGCTCTTGAAGCATTTTTTTTAATGACTTGCTTTTCTGACTAAAAAAATATTAAAATAAGGAATAAGTATAGAAATGATTAATGTGGAATAGATAAGTAAGAAGTGGTTGGTTTAGTGAAGACCTGTATTTTACTGCTCCAAACAGCAAGGATATATATAGACTTACAAAGACCAGTAATTTTATGGTTTGGTCAGCTAGTATACAATAATAAAATTATTATTAAAGCGTGTACATGAAATAAATGTGAAAGAAGATCTACTAAAAAAGTTCTTGTGGGGATCTAATAAAATTATGAAATTTTTGCTTTGGTGGTAGCTATAAGCTTGCGCACAGAATAAAAATCAAAGCTATTTGATACTTTTTTAAATTATACTTTTTTAAATTACAAATCTTAAACATTTCTGCATGGTTTTTTTTTTTTTTTTTTTAAATTTTTGTTTAAAAATTGACCAGTACTTTTCAATCACTCTTAATTCTAGAAGGTTTGAAGGATTTGCTGTTGATTTGTAAGAAGCGTTACACCATTTGGATTTTACATAAGAAACAGCAATTTCTTGTACAAATTGAGAGCGATTTCTTGTACACATTGAGCAATTTATGTTACGCAAAAACTTTTTAAA